AATTCCATTGACTTGGGAGGCTGAGGCAGGAGGATTGTAAGTCAAGGCCAGCCTCAGCAACTTAGTGAGGCCCTAAGCAACTTAGAGATTTGTTACCCAAATAATAAAAAAAAAATTAAATGCCTGGAGATGTGGCTCAGTGGTTAAACACTTCTGGGTTCAATTCCTGGTTAAAAAAAAATTTTTTTTAAATATTCTGGAATGGGCTTCTGCAAAGTTTAGTGAGCTGGAGATATACATATAGAGGTAGAGAGACCCTTCTTTTACAGACTGCTCTTAAGGGGGATTCCTGTCATGGCTGGGAGGTTTGCCTAAGATCCTTTCTAGTTCTGAGATTCTGAGACTCCTGTTTTTCCATTTTGTCTCTGACAGGCCAGGGCTTTGACAGACACTTGTTTGCTTTGCGGCACCTAGTGGCAGCCAAAGGAATTGTCCTGCCCGAGCTCTACCTGGACCCTGCATATGAACGGATAAACCACAACATCCTGTCCACCAGCACGCTGAGCAGCCCAGCAGTGAACCTTGGTGGCTTTGCCCCTGTTGTCCCTGATGGCTTTGGCATTGGTTATGCTGTTCATGATGACTGGATAGGCTGCAATGTCTCCTCCTACCCAGGACGCAATGCCCGGGAGTTTCTTCACTGTGTTGAGAAATCCTTAGAAGATATATTTGATGCCTTAGAAGGCAAATCCATCAAAGCTTAGCTTCGAGGTAGATGGAAAGTCCTCCATTACTTCCTCATGAAAATGGAGGGCCGTGTAGCCAATACGTGCTATCCTGTGCCTAATGAAACTAGTCACGGGCCCAAGCAGCCAGTGCTACAAGCTTGAGCTCAAAGATCATTTTTTTAAAGCTAAATGTGTTATTTCTGAATGGGAAATAACAGTTTCAAGACCCTCTGATCAAGATATTGGGTTTAAAGAACTAACTCAGGTCTATTTATTGTTTAAACAGAAATAAAATGTAATTGTGTAATTATTGCTTAAAGATGCTTCCTCTTATTATTAGTAGTGTTTTTTGGGGGTTTTTTTGTTTTGTTTTTTTTGGTTTTGTTTTGTGGTGCTGGGAATTGAATCCAGGGACTTGTGCATGCAAGGCAAGCATTCTACCAATTGAGCTATATCCCCATTTTTTTTTTTTTTTAATCCCTACTTCCCACAAAGAACTTCCCAATAGTAAGTTCAGGAAGCAGTAAGTTCCCATTGATTCCCGGCTCCTCAGGTGCTATGGGAAACACTGTTTCATCCTCTATAAACTTGCCCCTTTCTCTTGGGCAAAAGTACTCTTTATTTTTCTAAGGAGTGAACTGCTCTGCTTGATTCTGGCAGGCCTGCTTCAATAAAGGATCTAACCACGGATTTAAGGACTGCTATTTGACTAGTTTGGGGGACCAAATGAGGATTTATAATGGGCATGTGTTTATTTTAATCAGTTGAAGTGTGAGTGAGAATTGTGGCCTCAGGTAGCAAACATAAGTCTGCATTTTACAGTAGAGAACATTTCCTTTAAGTGAAATGAGTATAGATTTTTTTCCTCTCCCATTACTTGTTAGAATGCTACTGGAACTTGAACAGAAGGGCATTTTTATCAAATTTTTTGAAAAGGAAGTAATTTGTGTTAATCTTACTGCATTCGTAATGGCTTCTCAGTGAGTTACAGATACAGCCTTTCTATCCTCCTCATTTGCTTCCCTTTAACACATGTCCTACAGAGAAGCCCAGTGGGTCCCATGTCTTCAGCCTGCCTTGCCTAGGTTTTTACTGTTCCTTCTTTATGAAAAATTCTATCCTTGGTCAAAACACATAAGGTAGAAATTTCATTCCGGACACACTTAGCTCCCAGGAACAGCACAATATACGTTAACCACAACAATGGATTTAGATTTGCATCACTCAGAGGGCGAGGAGCCCTAACTACTACTTCCTAGACACCAAAAGGCCCTTTGGAGTCAAAAGGAGCCTGCCTAGGCTGTGGAATTGCCTGGCAGGAGCTGGGACCTCACCCGCTCCAGAAGGGAGGAGTCTACCTTGGCATGGCGCCCAATCTTGACCGTGTGCTTGGTGAGCAGGAAGGCATACTCCTCCGCAGTATGACTGCAGGTACTGAGTCAGATGTTCTGCCCAATATATGCTTCTGGCATCTTCAGCAGGCTGAGCACCACAGGACCCAGGTTATTCACAGGGTTTACAAGGAGCCAGATGCTGAACCTTCAGAGATTCTACTCTTACATATTGCAGTACCAAAACACACAAGATCATTAATCCTTGGAATACCTCTTTGAATACAGATTGAGGTAGGGTTTCAACCTTATTTTATTGTACAAAATCTCTAACAGCTGCCTCAGTACCATTTATTGATGAGTTAATAATTAACCTCACGAACTGCAACAGTATTCCTTAATCTTCATATGTCAGTAGGTCTGTTAATCTGCTGTTCCACTGTCTGTTTGTGTATTAGTGCCAATACCATAAACGGTTTAAATTGCCATTGCTTTATAAATATATTGTGATACTTGCTAGGGGAGGTCTCCCGCCTGTCATACAGATTCCGAATCAATTTAAGTTCTAGTAAAAATTTGAGATTTTCTTTTATTTATTCATTTTTTTAATGTGGTACTGAAGATTGAACCCAGTGCCTCACATATGCTAGGCAAGCCCTGTACCATTGAGCTACATACAACCCCACCCAAAATCTGAGATTTCAATTAGAATTTATAAACATTTATTGAAAATGAGCATCTTTATCATGTACTTTTTAAAAACTATTTTTCATTGTCAATATAGCTTTTATTTATATTATTTTATATGCAGTACTGAGGATTAAACCCAGGGCCTCACAGACATGCCCATAGGCAAGTGCTCTACCAGTGAGCTTTTGAGTTGTAGATGGACACAATGCCTTTATTTATTTATTTTTTGTATGTGGTGCCAGGGATAGAACCCAGTGCCTCATGAATGCTAGGCAAGCGCTCTACCACTGAGCCACAACCCTGGCCCTTGGAGAAGTATCTTTTCTTGAATTATATCTTGCTTGTTAGTAGCATATTGAAATAAGATTTCTCACCTTGACCTTAAATCCAACATGGTAATTTTTTTTTCTGGAGTTACTAAGTGGAAAATCATAATTAATGAAATACTGAGTTGACTCTTTCCTTTCTCTTTACTTTTTTTTTTAGTACTGGGAATTGAACCCAGGGGTACTAATCATTGAGCCATATCCTCAGCCTGCTTTTTTGTTTGTTTGTTTTTTGAGACAGGGTCTTGATTAGTTGCTTAGAGCCTCACTAAATTGCCAAGGATGGCTGGAACTTGTGATCCTCCTGCTTGAGCCTCCCAGGTTGCTGGGATTACAAGTGTGTGCCACCGTGCTCAGTCTTTACTTTTCAAATTATCTTATTGTGGGATTTCCAGCACAATAAACAGATGTAGTGATTGAGGGCATCCTCATCTCACCCTGACGAAGTGTAATACTTCAAACATTTCATCATTTATAAAACATGGCACTTGCTCTAGGTTTTTTGTTAATACCCTTTGTGAGGTGAGAGTAGCTCTCTTTTATTCCTAGTTTGCTAAGAGCTTTTTTTAAAAAAAACTTTTTTGTAGTTGTAGATGGATGAAGTGCTTTTGTTTATTTTTATGTGGTTCTGAGGATTGAAACCAGTGCCTCATGCATGCCAGGAAAGTACTCTGACACTAAGCTACAGCCCCAGCCCAAGAGCTTTTTTGTTGTTAAATGGGTATTAAACATCTTTTCTGCACCTATTGACAATCTATTTCATCTTTCCTTTAATCTGTTAAGAGTATTTGGGTCTCCCTACCTCCTGAAAGATGGTCGAGTAATTTAAAATATAAATAAAACCTTGAGGTTCTTTTAGTGTTTGGCTTTTGAACTTACATACTGAAGGGTATGTAAGAGACTAAAAAAGACTAAAAACAAGAAAGGTTGGTTCCCCAGCCCAATGTGTCCTTGCTTCCAGATGAGACAGTAGACTGGACCCAGTGGGAGGGGGCTGGCAGAGGGAGGCCTGAAGTCTTGCTGTCAGGTACAGAAGAGCCCAGGGAACAGGGAACATAGGGAACCAATGTTGAAAAGTAACAAGCTAGGCCCCTCCTCACTACCCCTAGACATGGCTAACTTTCCCTGAAAACAAGAGAATCCTCTTTCTAGAGCCTTACAACCAGCCTGGGTGTTAGTAGACCCTTTCCTACTCTCAGGAAGTGAGAAAGAGACACTAATTTGTTTTTCCAAAGAATTCTAAGCTCCAGAAGAACACGGAAAAAATAGGTCTCCAGCAACAGGTATTCCCAATGGTGGGTTTGGAAGGGAAGAATAAGCATCGGCATGGCCTACCAGTGCACTTATCAATCCTGTCAACTGTGTGGACGTTTGGCCCAGGAACCAGGCCCAAGAGGCACAGCAGGTTCTGACTCCTGTCTTTACAATTCCAAAGGATTTCCTGGGGGCAGACACATAAATATGGTGCAAGAGTACAGAGACCAGCAGGAATTGTTTCAGGGAGCAGAGGCTGACTTAGAACAAGGAAGAACTTTCACACCTCTTCTGATGGGCTGGGAGTGCCCCATCACAGCAAGTGAGCTGAGACCTGATGACCATCATTCAGGAATTCTTTTGCCAGAAGTGGGCTGGGCTGGAATGCCAAGTGACTCCAGCTAACAGAGATGCCCGGGTTTATCCGAGAGCCAAGCTGGTCAATGCAGGGCTTTGACACAGAACTGCTAAGCCTGTGGCACCATTCCATAGGTTTCCCTGCCCTCTGTGCCACTGGCCTTGAGACCTTTGATCCTCTGGATTGATGTGCCCACTTTCTAAGAGCTGGAGAGTCCCTGGAAACTATGTATTCCTGCATATTTGGCAATTTGGAGGAAGTGCAGGGATTTAAACTGTAGAAAGTTGCCAGAAAGCAGTCAGAGACCTTCAGTGTGAATTCTTCTTTGTGGAGGGAATAGTGGCTGCTCCCTGACTCTATCCTCACACACTGATGTGATACAAACAGGGGTTTTATTGATGTGGCTTGGGAACCATGACAAACCCCAGCATGCAGGTTATGAGGGCTCTCTACAGCAACTAGGAGATGAGGGATGAAGGAGTCAGTCTCTATGAGTGCTGCTGCTTGGGGCACTTTGTTTCCTCTTATTCTTAAGACCAAGTGTGTAGGAAGGGAGTTCAGCACTTCACAAACTGGTGAGTGACCTCATAGATTCCCACAGACTCCTGAGCCTTCTCATCATAGTCAGTCCAATCCTATAAAATAAGAGAACAGAGTTAGTCAGTGTGGAGAGTGGAGAATGGGGACTTATGAGGACCCACTCAGGCTCAGACTCAGAGATATTCATGAACATGTGTGACCCTGAACAGAGATAGATAGCTCAGGACTAAACTATAGCTCCTCCAGCTTTGTGATTATGGGTAAGTCACTTAACTTCTCTGCATCTCAGTCCTCTTCTCTTAAAAAAAGAGAGAGAGAGATGCCAATAGACTTCAGATTGAATTTTCAAAGAATCGTATCAGGAAATATATGTTAAAGTACTTAGCACAATGGCTGGCACAAAGAGGAGCTAGTAAATGCCAGCTATTGTTGTTAAAGGTGCTATGCACATGGAATGAAGTGTTTTTTTTTTTTTTTTTTTTTTTTGTTGTTGTAGTTTCTCTTGATTTGGGTCAGGGTCTCACTAAGTTGCCCATGCTGGCCTTGAAACTCCTGGGCTCATGTGAGCCTCCTGCCTCAGCCTCTGTGGAGGGTCAAATACATGAAATACATGCCACCATATCCAGTGTGAATGAAGATCTTGTCCTTCCTTCCTTTAAGGCCTGAGCACAATTTTATCTGCAGCATACTATGTCCAGCAATGCAGAGGATTACTTGTTAGGCTCTATAAAGTCACTACAAACACTAAATTAATGAATACTAAACTACTGTTTCCAGTGGAAATACAGGGTTAAGGTCCTGTGAACATCTGGTCACATTTTCATCAACTGATCAATAACTTTGTTTTACCTGTGTTTATTTCTATTTAAAGACATGTTTTTAAAAATTTATTGTTGATTCATTAACATGAAGTTCAGAGCCAACAACACTGTAACCCATGCCTTGACAAACTTGATCCAATTTCTCCACGAAGCACATCTCAGCTTTCTTGCATGTAGAAACTAGACAGCGTGATAGCAGTACACTTGGGACTATTTCAACAGCAAAATCAACGTTGCATGCGACTAAAACACTCAGGGGTTACTCCAGGGGAACTGGGCTAACTGGGCTGCGCAAAATAACCACACAAGAGACAGAAATACATTTTTCTTTGGGGTTGCTGTGATGGCTCCTCTGACCTTAAGGGTCCGCAGAGAGAGAGAGAGAGAGAGAGAGAGAGAGAAAATGCAAGCGTGCCCACACGTGCTGACCCATTTTATTGAGGAGAAGCTATTCAAATGAGGCAAGGGGTCAGGTTTCAGGGGGCTGAGTAAGAGAAGGGGTCACACAAAGGGGCGTTTCCATGGAACATTCTATCCCAAACAGGGCAAAGAGATAATATCACAAAGGAACAGGCGAGCATAGCTCCACCCATGGGGTTTTAGGAAGGCACACGCCCATGCACAAAGACACTGTCCCTTGAACCCAAGAAGGGCAGGGCAGTCAGAGCCTCAATCACTCAGCCGGGGAGTGACTCAGTCACGTGCAAGGTTGGTCTCCTACAACCAACAAAAAGCACAAAATGCAGAACCAACTTTCCATTGATAAGCCTTGTTCACAAAAAGGAAAATTCTCATCAGGTGCCACATAGCACCATGCTAGGTCTCAAGGCCACATACCTTCTCTTGCAGATTAATGTCACTGAAGATTGTCCCAGACTCCACACCCTCAGCAGCAAACCCATCCTGCAGGGGACAGGAAAGCAACAGTTAAAATTAGTCTGGAAGAAAAAAAGGCACTGAACAAGCCTGTGAAGACTGGCCAGGGAGCTGGCTTTTCTAGCAAAAACTTTTGGATGGAGAACAGAGATGGAACTATTCTTGAATAGCTGCTGTTTCTAAGACCTGGCAGTTCCTTTAGGATTAAGTCTGTTTTTTGCAAATTACAGCCTTGGGCTGGGGGACATAGCTCAGTTGGTAGAGTGTTTGCCTTACATTAATAAGGCTCGGGTTCGATCTTCAGCACCACCACCACCAAAAAAAAAAAAAAAAAAAAAGCCCTGGACCAGAAGGCAAGAGAAGTGGGGTGAAACTCTTCTACTACCCCGATTTGCTGAGCAGCCCAGGGCATGTCACCCCTCTTTCTGGATGTTAGTTTTCTTATTTATGAATGGGAATGACAATATTATTTCTTCTGCCTTATGTCACAGATTTGTTGTGAGGTAAAAATGCTGTATAAATAAACAGTGATGAACACTAGCTCTGGAGTCAGATGGACCTGGGTTCAAATAACAGCTCCAGTGCTTACTAACTGTGTGACCCTGGGCAAGCTGCAAAATCTCTTAGGATCTTTCCTACTCTGAAAAATAGGATAAATCATTTCATAGGGTTACTGTGATGACTATATTAAGTAACATGTAAAAGTGATGGGCCTGGTGCCCAGCATATAGAAGACTTAATAAGTGACAATTAGAGTCTTAGTACAGACTTTCTAGTCCACAGCCTCTGTAGGAAGCTAAGTTCTGCTGTCACTTCTTACATCCCCTTCCCAAAGATACACACGTACCTGGGGCTGGAAATCAACTGGTTCAAGGCCCCGGCACTCAAACTCTACTATCGTCTTGAACTTCTCATTGTCTTCAGCCTAGAAAGAAGTGTGTTGAGGAGGTAGCTCATCTTGGCCCTAAAGATGACCCCATGGCCCCTGCCCTTCCTGCCATGTGGGCCCTTACTGCCCTATGAGCCTAGAATGGGACCTGGAACAACTCATTTCCTTCTTAAAGAACCCTGCCTTGAGCACTGCTCCCCATGGAAACTTCTGTGGACATGGAGGCAGCAAAGAATATGGAGTCTGTGGTTAGCCTGTCTGGATGTGAGGCTGAGCTCTGCATCTCTTCCCCTCTGGGCATAATATTCATAAACTATCAAATGGAGCTGAGGAAACCTTTACAGGTAAAGAGAATTTTAAATATGTATAAAGTGCCTAGCATAGGACCTAACACTATGCTCAAAAAGTGGTAGATATGGGCTGGGGTTGTGGCTCAGTGGCAGAGTGCCTGCCTGGCATGTGTGAGGCACTGGGTCAATTCTCAGTACTACATAAAAATAAATAAATTAAATAAAGGCCTGTTGACAATTAAAAACAAGTATTTTAAAAAAAAGTGGTAGATAAAATTATCAATATTACAAATATGAACAAGAACATTAAGCTTCCAAGTCTCCAGATCATGCAAATGGTCCCAGTACTCTTAGCCATAACCTTTTGCTAACCATCCATAACACTGCAAGGGCAGATGTCTGCCTTAAAATCTTTGAAATGGGATGGGCATACCTGTTTAAGGATGGGAAGCCAGGAAATTCATGCCTATTTGACCCAGAGGGCTCAGAGCTAAGTGCCATGCCACATATTCACTCTCATCCTGTCATTTACTGTAAAACCATTTCTGCACTCCAACCATATGTGTAGCATTGGTGAGGCAATTCTCCATTGAGCCTTGTTTTGTTGTTTGCTGGTCTGTATCTTCTGCACGTTATGATTTACTTGGGAGTAAGTCCTCATTTAATTGCTCTCTTTATGTTTGGGACAATGTGAAAATTGGTCATAATTCAAATATTTTAAATAAATACCAAATAAGAAAAGGATGAATACAAATAACTACCTTTTAAAAACAGACCCAAGGCGTACCCCAACTCTCTTACTTTTGGGCTAACTTGTTATGTAGTAAGGCATAACCATCTGGTAATAATATTGGCACTCTCCAGCATGGGTTGCACCAAAGGACTGCCCCACTCATAGTTTCAGAGAAGGCTTGCTAGTCCTCTAAGATGCAGACAAGGCATATACTCTCAACCATGGAAACTGAGCAGCTAGCTTGGGTTAGAAGACCCTGGAGCTCCAACAGCACAGCACTTTTACAAAGGCACTGCAATGGCCTGTTTTGACTCTTTCCCCTAGCAAACACCCAGTATATGGTGAATGAATGAGGGACTGAGTGAATGAGCACCTGAGTGAAATTACAGAAAGAAAAAAGTACACGAGTAAAAGCCCTACGGAAGATTGTTTTGCTATAGCAATAAGTCTATAACCCAGCCCCTCCTAGCCCCCAGTTTAGATTTAAACCCACCACATCTCCCACTATAGCAGCAAACTTACATTGTAAGATTGGATGGTGCTACTCAAAATATCTGAAACATAAAAAAAAAAAAAAGACAAAGTTGACTTGAATCCATACTGTGGCCCCCCTAGGTGCCCAAATGTGGCCCTGGGAAAGAGACAGATGCAGAGGCTTTAGCATCTGAGGACTGAGTTGTCCACAGTTACATGAGCCTGTTTTCAGTCAGCTATCAGGAAGCTGTGGGCCAATCTGACCTACCTATTGAGTTTTCCCGTGCACACAGCTTGCACTTCTGGACCATGGAGACACTGTGACGGCCTCCCTTCAGTTCCACACTATCCTGGGGAGAAGCAGAACCTCTAGTCACATATCAATTAAATGCAAGGGTCCTGGGGATATCCTGTCCCACCACTTATTATCCAGTTGAAGAGAACAAGACCAAGAAAGGCAAATGACTCCTGGGGACTGGGGAATATAGCTCTCAGTGGTACAGCATATGTTTAGTATGTGCAAATCTTGGGGTTCAGGCCTCAGCACCAATTAAAAAAAAAAAGAATCTTGGGAAGGCTTGACACTGAGGAAAGGGTTCTCCCTTGATTGTGAATTCTGTTTCACATCCCAAAGATGATTATTGTTTCCAGTACTGATTACACTGATGCCTACCCTCCAAACCACAAACAGCAGTGTCCAAAGGATTAGAGAAATGAGGGCCAGTTTCTCTGAATCCCTGCTCAGATGTATGTGTATGTTGGGGGAGGTGGGTAGTGGTGGGGAACGTTACCATCAGCCGGAGGTACTGCCATTTCTCTGAAATCTCTCCACAGTTGCCACATTTCATCTTGGAAGAAGAAAAGCATATTAGTAAAGCAACTGGCTAAGTTGGGCAGACACTGAGGTAAGGACAGTGTGAGTAGGCAGGCTCATAACCTACCTTCTTGGTGGAACTCTCACTTCAGTCCTTAAAACCAGCCCAATCAAGGACATAACCAGACTTATCTCTAGGCAAAGAACAAGTTGTTTCTCATGTTGGTGTACCCATTCTCACCTAGGAAGTGCCCAGGATTGCTGGAGATTCAAGGCTCCTTTCAGTCCAGAAATGGCCTTAACAGGCCCCAGCAACTCTGTGGTTAGGTGTTCCCATGTGTTCCCAGAGGCCCTGTCAGTGCCTGGTTTCAGTATTTATTCATCATTGTGCTGTTACTCTTTATGTCTCCCTCTGTGCTTCTTGAAGCCAAAGAATACTGATTCTCCAAATAAAAGCCTAGAACTCAGGCTTCAGAATATTTGGAAATAAAAGTGGTCAAAAGTGGTTTCCGGAAGGACAGGGCTTTAGGCAGTTTTGGAAGGATGCCAGGATTCAGATTAAGAGAACAGGGCAGGGGTTCTGAAGTCTGCGACAAGGAAGGGCCTCAAACTCTTCAGATAAGAAGAGGACCTCTGCGTACCATGCCACTGGGGGTACCAGGTTTACCAGTAAGGGTGGTTCATGCACAAATTTTAACTATTTCACAATAAATAAGGCCAGATCAACAAATAAAACATAAGGCAAAATTATCATCTTTTTAAGCACTCTACTGACTAAGCTATATTCTCAGCCTTTTTTTTTTAAATATTTTTTTTATTTACATTTTAGTTTTTGGCAGACACAACATCTTTGTATGTGGTGCTGAGGATCCAACGCGGGCCGCACCCATGCCAGGGGAGCGCGCTACCGCTTGAGCCACATCCCCAGCCCCAAAATTATCATCTTAATAAATAATCAACAGATTCATTCACTAGCATTTCCTTTAGTGTCGGTTTAGAGACAACATATTTAACAAAGGAAAAATTTATAGCCGAGTGCAGTGGGGCAGGCCTGTAATCCCAGCAGCTTGGGAGGCGGAGACAGGAGATCGCTACCAACTCAGTGAAACCCTGTCTTTAATAAAATACAAAACTGGGCTGGGGATGTGGTTCAGTGCCCCTGAGTTTAACCCCTGGTCCCCCTCCAAAAAAAAACTATAAAAAAGAGTTGTAAGACCGTCGAAAAATGACCAAACCAAAAATTCTGGCCTGAAAAACGCGAACATTTACTATGTCTAGTTAAATAATTCTCAAGCTGCTGGAGAGAACGCTCCAGTTCCAAATCAAGATCAGGCGGGGACGACTCCTGGCGATGTCCAGCCCGCGGCTCTCGGGTACCCCCCTAAACCCACCGCATCCCGAAGCTCCTCCCTTCTCACGTCTCAGGGCCCGCCCTCCACGCACCTTCAGGTACCACCGGAAGTCCTCGCCCACGGGACGGAGGTTCGTGACGTTCTCCAGCGTCGCTTTGAGCTGCAGCGCGATTTTCTAAGGGGAGGGAGGACCAGACCGACAGTGTCGGCCGCGCTTGCGCAATCCGCGCCGGCCCTCCCGGCTCGCGCATTACCTCCTGTCCGCTTAGCGCGAGCCTATTCCCTTCATTCCCGTCTGGCGCGAGATATTGCTTTCCAAGGCCTCGCCACCGCCCCGCCACCACTCCCACCCCGGTACCCCGGCACCCAGCGGCGGGGAGCCTTCCCTCACCCCCATGGTGGCCCGGCTCAGCGCGGCGCCGGCTGCGACGGCTACTTTCTGGCAGGTCGTAAAAGAGGAGGAGGCACTTGCGCACTCTCAGTGCGGGCAGTTAGGTGGCGCGTGGTGGGCAGCAGGGCAGGTGGGGCACTTATTCTGCTGTCACCTTACCTGCCCCTCGGGGCTTTTCCTGTTAGGGGAACTGGAGACGGTGGAGGTCATTGAGTGTGAGATATCTGTTGCTCAGACGCTCTGAAAGGTGCCCCCACGGAATGGGTCATGCCGCAGATATTTATTGAAATCCAATTTTGTACCAGCACTAAGTGGACAGTTACCGCCCCTCACTTCTCTCCTGCGTCTTCATTATTTTCTCTTCCCTGGGCTTCTCAGATCACTTTGGCTCCTCCTGCTCAGGGGTGAGAAGTCCGGACCATCTTGGGGACAAAGGACATGTCTTAACTGGGGTCTTAACTCATAACCTAACAGTCATTTAAAAGATGATATGTGCTTTTTCTACTTTTCCACCTCAATTCAAAGTTTGCCATATACTAAAAGCTTGATATGTGCCATACTCTCAATTTTATGGTTTTCAAAGTGTAGGTGCATTATTAAAGCCAGTAAGTCTCCAATGGTAAACAGTCTAAAGGATAAAAACTATTGAGACTTCAAAATGGCAAAGTCCCATGGTCTTTAACTTGTTTGCATGATTTGTGTTTTAACATTTCCCATCTATGTGTTCTTTTAACAAGTATAATAACTCATCTTTATCACAGGGTAAAGATGTTTACACAGGATGTAACATGATAGGACAAATGTAATGTTAAAACTCACCTCCCTAAAGTGCCCTCACAGGAAAAGAAAAATAACTTCGAAATGCACCTAAAGCCATTTAACATTCCTAAACTCGTCCACACCTGCAAGTAGTCCTTTCACAAGAATAAAACTAGACCTCTGCTGTGTCTGGGAGCCAGGCCCACACTCTCCTGGTTTTGTCTCCCTTTTGAATTCCCAATTAAAGGCCTTGCTCTTCTGACTTGATTTCTTCTAATGAAATTGAGTCAAAAGTTCCCATTCGCTGGCATCAGGGGCAGCCTCACAGATTTGGAAATTATGCCTTCTCCAAACTGCCCCTTTATTTGTCCATGAGACTTGGTCTGTAGGCTCCTCTCTGGGTTTTCTTGTATTCATGCCCCTTCTTTCTCTCTGAGATCCCTAAGACTGGATACCCACTTTCTGCTGGCATTTCTGTGGGCCCCCACCTGTCATATCCTATGGTATCCTCACTGGTTGGTACCATACAGGAGCTGTGGGCGTCTACATCAGAAGATTCAGCCCATTTGAAACTTTTTAACTTTGGAGGTCCTCAGTGTCATTTAAAAATTGGAGTGACTTTTCCAGATGTCTACTATACCACCAGATTACCTTATAGCCCCCAAGTTCCCTTTACAGAAGGAGGTATTTTGGAGTTAGGGACCCTCATTTGGTGGATCCCAGGGATGTAGTTAACTTGTTCTATAGTCTTTGAAGGAGGCAAAGTGTGGTGGAAATGAAACAGTGAATTTGCTGCCTTCCCACCCCATTAAGAACCATCACCACATGCCGAGACTGGCCCTCCATCCTGACGGGCCAAGAAAGCTGAGTAGAGACTACCTCCCTCCTCAGGCCTGCCTTTTGTCTCACTTAGCTGCATTTCCTGCCTCACTTAGCTCATCTTCCTTGAAAGGCTCTGCTTAAAAAAAAAAAAAAAGATGGGGATGTGACTCAGTGTTAGATTGCTTGCCTAGCATGTGCAAGGCCTGGGTTTGATCCCCAGTACCTCAAAAATAAATAAAAATAAATAAGCCAGGCATGGTGGTGCACACCTGTAATTCTAGCGACTAAGGAGGCTGAGACGAAAAGACCCAAGTTCAGGGGCAGCCTCAGCAATTTAGCAAGACTCAGTCTGGGGTGGGGATGGGAGGACTGGGACTGAGTATGTTGCTTGGTGGAAAATAAATAAAGCTCTGCTCAGCTTGGAGATTTTGAAGGTGGAAGTGATACTGGTCTTGGATATCGGGATTGGGTCCTCATTCCCCGTTGTTGAAGATTTAAACACTAGAGAAACACCGAAGCAAGCATTGAAAGCAAATTTTATTTGAGAGCAGCCAGAGACAGTTGGTAGGCTCCTCTGGAGAGGAATCAGGGACTCAGAGCTGGTGCCTGTGGGAAGGGGCATGTCTTGCCTCTTTAGAGATCTCAGGTTTCTTTTCCTCTCACCCCCCTTGCCTACCTGTCTTGACTATAGGACCAAAAGGCAGGAAAAGAGCTGCCCAGGGGTACTCCTTAGCAACTCCCTGTGTTGGGAAGAGTGATTCCCCAGACCTGTCCATAACCTTGGGGCAGGGGGTGTTCTGGAGGTGTTAGTGTTTCATTTCTTTTTCTTTGAATTAGCCCCCATGTTCTGATCATTCATTATCTATACTATCTGTCCTTTGCCAGTAACTTTTGAAACAATGTTTCTTCTATCTTTCAAAGCTGTTTTGGAATAAACCCTATTTTCCTACCAATTTGACTCCTAACATTAGAATTGCATGTGTTGTAACCTAGCCTCTTCATCCCAGGATAGATGATGCCACCTAGTTAAAAAAAAAAAAAAAAGGCACTGTCTTGAATTAGTTTCCTTGGGACTGTTAGGGGCAGAGAGATGAGGATGGTGGTGAAATCGGTTTTATTGGTGATCAGGACCAAGTTCATGTTCCACAGAGTTGAAGAATGAACACCACGAGTAGACGGATAGACAAGGCAAAGAAGCATAGAAAGATTTATTTATTTAAGAAAGTGATAGAGGACAGATTTCTCCCAAGAGGAGGAAGGTTCCTTCCAGCTGAAATGCCCATGGCGGGTTGGGGAGGTGACTTGCCTTTTTTATATAGCAAGAACTTCTTTCATTATTCATTGTATTTCCTCTTTCCTGTATATACACACCTAAGAGCACAAACACAAGTTGTTGTTGTTTTTTTTAATAACTTAAGCAACTCTTTGTTCTTTCCTTGAAAAACATTCATCACCCTCTCAACCCTCATTATTTTTACCCATATTGACTGCTTGACTTCATGACAGTTATTAGCTAATTTTCTCATTACCAGACCCTTGTCACTCTTACCTATAATGGGAAAATGAGAATACAAGAATAATTCTATAAAATGGGCCCACTGTGCTGACTCCCCCACATGCTTTCTTTGCCCCAAAGCAATTTACCTGCAGCCCTGCCTGGCCTAAGTGGACAGGATGTGTTGCATTCCTTAAGAGGAACCAGTTACTTTGAAGGGAGAGACATTTGTGACCCTTTTCACAGACCAGATTCTGGAAGAAAAGGATAATTCCTCCAAACCACAAAACCTGTAAAAATGATTAAGAATCTGGTTACAGTTGCTCAGCATGGGCCAAGGGAATCCAGCATTGTCATGGCACTAGGTACTTGAAAGTCTGATGTCACCCTGCTGTCAATTCAAAGGTCAAGAGGTAAACCTGGGTGGAGCTCTCTGGAAAATTCCCTGAGACCCTAAATAAAACTGGAATGCAAAGGAGGCATATTGTCTCCTCCTTTCTGAGAGGACCAACTCTCTCCTTTGAGTGTCTCCTTTCCCTTCAATAAATTCATCCTTGTTATTCTGAGGGACATGTCTGAAATCTTTCTGACTTGATCAGCAAAATAAAGGCTTGAAAAGGGGGTATTTGCGCTGCCTCAGTTTCCTAGAAGACCCCAGCTCTGTAACAGGCCCCTCTCCCAATCTAGACATTTCAGGGGTATGAATTTAGTTAGGATAATCACTTCCCATGAGTCAGATGAGGCTTATCAAGGCCTACTTCCTGCCAGCAGTTTTACCTAAAAAAGCCATGCAGTTTAGCAGGGGAGAAAAAAGTTCTAAGCACATTTACCTACCTGAACAAAAATTCCCACACTATCTGTACCACCTGGTCTCAGTTCTTAATGGCTGCTGGTTTTTAATTTTACAATGGATTTTAAATTGGGAAATTTTTCTGAGGCCAGGCATTTTATCCCTTACAATGTGTTAAACATGGGGATCCAAGATGGTGGGCAGAGGGAGACAGCATTCTGTGTCACTCCGTGACCTGGGACTCAAAATGAGAATACTGCTTCTCTGCGAGCCATATGCCTGCTCCCGTGCAGGAATCATGGTCACTGTGCCTGACCAGGGCTCCAGGCCTCGGTATCAGAGCAGGTCTCCCAACTACTGGCCCACGCAGGACTACCGGGTTCGCGAACAGGACCACTGGCAACAGCACCCGTGCAGAACTTCCGGCCACCCACCTGAGCAGAAATCCCAGACGCAGCTCCCACGCAGGACATCCAGCAGCTTCCCACACATAGGAACTCTGGCCACCACTCCCATGTGGACCCCCATCTACCAATGTGGGGCTCCTCGGGTCGCCTCCATCTTGGGACTCTGCAGCAGCAGATAGTCCCCTACACGCAGTAGCCTGTCTGCACCCGAGAACTTCACACAGGCTCTGAAGTCAGTTGACAGCCACACACTGCACGCCACAGAGCTCGTCTCTGAACTCATCATCCAATGCCATCACCCAGTTCCCCCACCAGACCCGACAGCCCATCGCTGAAAGCAGGTGCCTCCATCTTGGGTCACCTTCATCACCATCTTTAGTGGAGCAACTCCCAGTTTGGAACTCCTGCTGGCCAAGTATCCAGTTTCTAACTCCCCCCCTCTCCCCAGCAGCTGCTAACCTGGCACAATGAGTGACCAACACAAAACAGCTCTCAGTGGGGCAGGTGCACAGTGCACCCAAAGCACCACACTTGAGAGCCCTGGAGAGAAGAGAGAAATGTCCCTCATTTAGGAAGTAGTAAGGGAGAGGGTGAGTGTAGTGTGATAGTTTAGAGACTAACACAGATACCAGGAACTGGGAGGTCTTCGGGCAAGATGAGAAAATAAGATTGCTGAGAGCCACGGCTGAGTCTGTATGGCCCCTGGCATTTTGCCAA